CTGCGGAAACACTAAACGAATGGAACCAGTTCAAAATACATAAACACAGATTGAAAAATTAAATTGTCAAAGGTATGGGGATTTCATTCAAGTAACCGCATACCTAAAGCATTTGTGACTTTCATAGGGTTGACAAGAAGGCGTGACAGATAAGGTAAGATTATGTTACCCTACGAAGAAGTGTAAGCGAGCAAAATCCTAAATTTTGAGCGTGTATGGGCGACGGATAATCTTTGTGAGAGAGCATCATGTAGATCTCCAGCACCTACGCAGATTCGAACCGCTGACCTTTGGGCCACAAGCCAGACGCTTTGTCCCTTCCACCACCGGCCGACACCATCCGTTGCTGATCCTCCCTGATGTTAGTAGTTTTCTGGTTGCACCTGTCAACTTCCACTTAACCTATTGGCGGTACTCATTTAGGGCGGCATAAACTCCAAAATTTTCACCCCGTGTAGCTCAGTTCGATTTCGAATCAGAATTCACGTGTTTGGCACAAAGTCAGATGGTTAATTCTCTGTCCATTTTATGCGGCGCTCCTTTCCTAGGCATCCACGGTTCGTTACTTTCTCTACTACGGAAGCGGATTTCGGTTACTCTGTGCTGAGCACTACAGTTGCACATATTGCACTGCGACTGTGCTTCTGGCGAACCCAATTGCGACTCAGTGCACGTTTCATACATGCGTTCATGGTTTGGCCATGAAGATTATCGATCGTGGTCTCCGTCTGTGCAGGTATGCTCAGATTAGCAAAGTGCTCCGCTTATTGTATCGCACTCATGGGCAGTCTGTTTCCTTTTAACGAGTGACGGTACTGTTCTGAGAGCTGTGAGTCGATATGTTTGCCTTCCAACCAGTGATCCTACCCAGACTTAGCGTATGGCGATATTGTGTGCGTGTACGTATTCACCATCACTGTCGAATGCACCGGAAGCTTACCGTCTCTCTCCCCTCGTCCCTTCGATGTCTCAGACATGACAAATACCACTACGCGCATAGTCACAGCGTATTTAGCCTTGAAATACCGGTGTCTAAGCGGACTGACTTGGTTTCGCCTGAACAGTAATGGACAATGTGCCTTTATGTGGCTGTCAAAGCGAGTGTCTCCTTCCTGTTTATCAGTTTATGTCAAGCCGAACCGAATTTCAGTTTATGCTTCCTAAATGTTGTCTCTATATACTATTCTACGTGTGTCAACGTCCTGTGACTACTTTCTTCCCTTAAACACAGTTGGCTTTAGGCGAAGTCTGCGCCTTCAAGTATTAGTCACAAATATACTCCTCCGGTCTTTGTCTCCTGGATTGATGCACTGAGGGGCACTTAATTAGAGCAGTTGTTTGTAATCCCAAAACACTCATTTCTTTACTATACTGGCCAACGGCACATCGGTAGGTTTTCCAGTCTTCGCTTGTCAGAATATATGACGTGGTGTTGAAAGACCGCGGAACAACCGTTACACCTTCATGAAATCTCGTCTTATCGATTTTCTACAACGCGCAGTACAGGTAAGTTCCCTGATGGAACTGTATTATCCGTTGGTCCCTATTCAGACCTCATAAGAACCATCCCCTGCTTATCGCGGTATTCTCCTCGGCGTATTGTCCTGCATTAACCTTATGCTTGGTCCATATGATTATCGCTCACATACACCATTTGGATAGGCTGGATCACCGTATTCAATTGCCGGGCCACATCATGCACAAGCACAGTCCACCGCAGCGGCAGCAGCTTGAATGTACACTGTTCAGCCATCTGGAACGAACTTCCGTGTAAACACAAGTTGTAATGAATGGCGATCGATAATCTTTCTGGTGATTCACCATCTCTCTCTACTCTGCGTTTAGGACCCGCTGGTCATCAGCTGACAAAGTTGCAAGCCGTAACAACCTTATGACGCATTAAATAGGGACGTCAGTCTCGCCTTAATAGGGAACCAGAAGCTTGATAGAGCATGTGAATCGCCCCCGCAGAAGCCCAATGAGCCGCCTTGACAGCACGCGCGAGAACACGAGAACGATACATTCGTAGGACATAAAACGCGACCTGCTTCGAATTCCACAGGGTGACAAACGATCACATTTGAACAAGGACGTAAGTTGAAATTCCGCTCGATATGTCCGAACGACGTTCCTTACTTTGGATGCGTCTGATCCCTGATGGAGTCGGAATTCTGAACTCAGAAAAGACATCGCTTAAATACAGTTTAAGCGTTTACATTGTGACGAAATGGGCTGTTTCTATTTGTAATGAAAGAGTATCCTGAGATAGTTTGGATACCACACTGTCTTCGTGGACTGACCCAAAGTCACTTGTAGCAAGTAGCCCATTGGAGAAGTACGAATATCACGGTTCTCTTGTGTTGGCAGTAGCGGGATGGTGACGGACCGAACTTTTCGCGAGCTATGATTTTAACCACGGTTTGTTACTTTGCAACTTAAATTATCCTGATAATGTCCTGTATGTGAGATACGAATGAAACGCCGCAGCCACTAGCTGTTCTACTGCATCCTTCAGTGGTCAATGTATACTACTCCACAAGTTTATTCATGTAGCATATAACTCAACATACTATCCTTCGCGCCTTCCGATTATCTTATCCTTCGTATTCTCCTTCATTTCTATTTCGCCTTTCCGGGCCTTCATGCCTCCACAAACTCGATTCACCTACGTATTATCACTGACGCGTTCGCAGTCGCGCGGCAAGGATCTAACCTTACCGATGATTGGCTACATTTCTCCAGCCAACTTTCTCCAAATCGCTGGTATCTGTAATATCCAATGCAAGCGTATTCACTCCTCTTGATGCAGTTTGTTTCAATACTGCGAGACTACTCGATCGAGAGCGACCTTAGAAACTTGGGCATTGTGTAAGCATGGCGATCACACACCTACCTACATCTATCCTCAGTGTGCCAGTCCCAAATTGACAGGCTGAGCGATATCCCAACTACCGCAGTATACCTGGAAATGTGTTGTGTGTATGTGTCAGCTGAACGCCGTAACGGCGCTTCGCTGCCGCGCGACCACCACCAGTCGCGCGCGGGTTGAGTATACCGCGAGGACGCCCATCCCTACGCGGATCCGAACCGGTGACTTTATGGTTGCAAAGCAAACGTGCAGACCACTCGGCCACCGGCCGACCAGTATACCTGGACGATGCATTGATTATGGGCTCAGATCCGCAAGACTTGATACAGGCACTGGAGAGAGTGCTTTCGCGTCTCGAAGAAACTGGATTCAGATTACCGACTGAAAATGTGAGTTCCTACTAGAAAGTGTCAAAATTCTTGGGTTTATCCTCGGCAAACATGGCCGGCGCCCGAATCCCGACAATATTGAAGCCATCCAAAAGCAGACGCCCCCGGAAGACATTTCAGGCCTCCGCACGTGCCTTGGGCTCGATAGTCATTGTAGCGCTTTCATACCAAACCTTCATCAAACTAGAGGTTCGCTGAACCAGTGACCGACAAAAGACAACGGTTGCAAATGGACGAAGGAGTGCCAGCAGTCTTTTGATGCAGTCAAAGCAGCCCTCACTTCTGATCTACTCTTGACTCACTTCAATCTGAATTTCAAAATTGTCGTTGCTACGAATACTTCCAATTATGGTGTCGATGCAGATATCTCCGAGGTTTTTCCACATGGAGGAGAGAAGGCTATCGCGCACGCAACACGGTCAGCTGAAAAGAACTATAGCCAGATAGAGAAGGAACCGCACGCTATCGTTTTCGCAATGAACCGGTTCCATAAGATGCTGTATAGCAGATATTTCGCACTCCTGACTGACCACAAGCCACTACTGTCCATATTCGGATCAAAGAAAGAACTTCCAATTTTTACGGCAAACCGATGGCAACGATGGGCGACCATACTACTAGCGTACTATTTCAGTATGCAATCACCATAATCCTACACGTTAGCTACAGGTGGGGAACACTTCAGCTACTGTGTCGCAATACACAGAAAAAGGTAGAGAGAAAATGCAACTGCTGCAAGCCGGCTGAGCTACCGGGAACGGATGGGCATCGTTCCGGTAAGCTACCAGCCGGCTACTGTGCACCAAAAAAATTACTATGCAAAATTATATAAGGTTAACTAATGAAATCGTGGTTTAAGCGGGAGGCTAAGCGTTCATCCAACTCGCATGACAGCGTACTTTGATAGGCATTCAAAACAGCTGGTTTCGTCAGTTGGTTGGTGTCGATGCGCTCACAACGTCTTCTTGGGCGTCCGCCAAAGCGCATCCGCAGGTCAGCATATACAAGTGCATGGTCGGTGTCCACACCTGCGCTCCAAATCGAGCGACAGTTCTGGACGCAGCCTCTCCATCGGTGGCTTATCGCAATGCGATCGATTTGCGTCCAAGGCTGGTTCGAGGCGGGTGGGCGCCAAATCACACTCCGGCGGGTGATGTGTCGGAAATTAATGCTTGCAAGTAATAAACGATCATCTTCACACAGATGAAGTATCCGCTCATCGTTATCATTACGGGTGCCTACACCATGTTGGCCGCCGAGATGCAGCTCATCAGTGGATAATTTTCCGACTTGAGCGTTCAGATTCCCAGCCAGCACTAAAGTGCCCGAGGTTCTTCTGTGGCTTAGGAGTTCGTTCAGTCGGCGCTAGAAGTCGTCTTTTACCTTGTCATCGCTACAGTTTGTCGGTGTATAGGCAGCGATAACGAATAGACACCTGTTAGTCCCACGCGACTTCGCAGTTTTGAACGAACCAGCCAATCGGACCGCACACATCCGGCTACTGATTGGAATGTAATCAACCAGAGTAGCTTCAATCCGTGGACTCAGGGCAATATCAACATCGGCTTGGCCGGTGCTCGAAGCTGCATCGTCACCGGGTAGGCGCAATGAGAAAGTGCTGCTAGCGTCACCTGAAGGGGATCGCAAAGTGAGTACAGAGCTCGAGTTTTGCAGGCGAGTCTCCGATAAGCAGCAGATATCGATCGGGAGGGTCTCCAATGTTCGGGCAAGTGCTGCCTGTGGACTGATCTGAAGCATTGTGCGACCATTGAGTCATGCCAATCTGAAGGAGGATCGAGGGCACCAAATGGAAGCCGATGAACTGGAATGGGCCGCTTTCTTGGACATGGGCCTGTTGACAGGGCAAGAATGACGCTCCGCGTTCAGTATTCAGTATTAACCTACGCAACCAGTCAAGCGGATGCCCTGTCTCGTCTCATCTATTCACACCCAAAGGAGGACCATGAATTTGTTATTGCAGCTATTAGTTTCGAATCAGAAGTCTAAAGAATCCTGGCCGATAATGTGCGAAGCGTGCCAGTAACAGTCGACACCATTCGTTTGGAGACATCGCGGGAAAGAATCTTGGAGAATGCGATGCAGTGGGTACGAACATGTTGGCCAGATGGAGTTGCGGCCGTTATACAATGGTCGTGAACAATTGTCTGATGTTTGGAGATCGAGTATTGGTGCCGAAGGAATTACAGTGGCAAATATTACAGCAGTTCCACACGGGGCACCCTGGTGCCAGCCGCATACAAGTCTTGGCACGCAGTTTTGTTTACTAGCCAGATATGGATTTAGAACTTGAAAATTTTTGCCAGCAGTGTAAATCTGCAGCGGAGGCCTCTCCCAAGTTTCGGGGGCAACCTTGACCTAAGGCAGAGAAACCGTGGCAACGAATACTTCTGGACTATGCAGGACCAATCACTGGCCAATCCTATCTCGTTTTGGTCTGATATGATCCCGGTAAACATTCCGACTGCCCAGTACACTGTCAACCATCTGGAGAAGCCTTTCCGATATTCGGTCTGCCAGAGATGTTAGTGACAGACAATGGAACACAATTCACCTCAACTTCTTTCAGCTAGTGGTGCAAGGAAAAGGAAATTAAGCAGATGTTTTCACCACAATATAATCCGAAATCAAACAGGCGGAAAGGTTCGTGGATACATTTAAATGTGCAAAGAAAGGCTTCACAGGATGCCATTCAATCTTTCCTATGCATGTATCGGAATGCTCCGAACCCAAACTCCCCTGATGGGAAATCCCTCATAGATGTACTATTTGGAAGAAAGATCCGGACATTGTTCGATAATCTTTACCAAGGAGAATAGAAAAGCACGGTAGAAGTCACCTGGAGGAAGATCGCAAAGTCAGGCTCCGTAACTTCAGTGTTGGTGACATGGTTTACGCCCGGGATTTTCGAAGGCCATTGGGGTGATCGAGCGGATATGTTATCGCAGGAAGGGCAGAGTTATCTACAAGGTGATGATTGGACGTGAGAGATGGATTAAGCACATCAATCAGTTGAGACCGAACCAAGACGAAACCCAAGGTTCCCACGAACTACCAGCTTTGCACTGAGACATTCTACTAGACACGTACGGGTTGGAAATTGAGGGTCAGCAACCCAATGAGACACAAATGCTGCAAACATCAGATGTACAGCGCAGGCCGGCTTGGAAGCGGAGAAGACCACAGTGGCTGCAAAACGATCCCTGGGCGAAAAGCTACGAACAAAAACA